GGGGGGTGCTCACCTGGAGTGAGGGGCTGCAATCCACAGGGAGCAGAGGCCCCACAGCTTCCCAGGGTGGTAACAATGATACAGCACTTATTGAGCACTCCCTGTGTGCAAGCTCAAGTACCAAGGGCTTAGGTGCATGACTTATTTAAACTTCTGACACACCCACTATACAGATGAGGAGACTGAGGCCGGCCCAGAGATGCTCTGGAACTGCCCAGAGCTTGCACAGCAAGTTGGAGGTGGCGGTGACTGCCCCTCATACCCATCCAGCCCCAGCCGAAAAGACCTGCAGGCAGTTGGCCCGGGGGGGAGAGCAGGAGCCGCCTGCCGTCCAAACCCAGAGGCCAGAGGCCTTTCACCACAGCCTAAAGGCCCTGAGGCCATCACTGGCCCTCTTTTGGGGAAGTCCAGCCGACGGCCCCCTCGGTCGGGACTGTCCGCATCCCCAGGCCCGTCCTTTCTCTGCACACTTGATCCAACTTCCCTTTTAAAAAACATTGGCCAGCGATTTTGCAGAAAAATTGTATCTCAACAACGTTCATGAGAAAGAACTCCTCCTCCTCCTCCTCCTCCTCCTCCTCCCCCTCCTCCTCCTCCTTCTCCTCCTCCTCCTTGGCCTCCTCCTCATCTTCCTCCCCCCTCCTCCTCCTCCTTTTTGAGGTGCTGGGGATTGAACCCAATTTTTCTTCTTGTTTTTAAAATGGGCTCCGCTCCCATCTGCTTCCCGCAGGATGAGATCATCCTGCTGCTGGGGAGAGAGATCAGCCGCCTTGCAGACTTTGAGATCGAATCCAAATACAAAGACGCGGTGATCGCCAACCTGCAGAACGAGGTGGCCGAGCTCAGCCAGAAGCTGTTGGACAGCGTGGCCTGCAGGCAGGGCGACAGGGGCGCCGCGCACAAGTGCGAGTGTCTGGACGAGGGCGCGGACGACAAGCAGAAGGAGATCCAGAGCTTGAAGCAGCAGGTGGGTCTCGGGGCAGGTGGGTCAGAGCCACACCGCAGGGTGACAGTTCCCGGGCCAGATGGAGTCCAGGCAGCACCGGTGGAGAGGAAGTGCCCAGGGAGCTGGGGGCGGG